TCATGGCTTTGTTGTCAGCTTTTTATTTTTGTTACTTCAGGGCCAATACGTTTATCACGCTGCCACAGGGCCAAAAAACTACAAACAAACAAAAAACTGCTGGATTTGTCGAGATGGAACAGAATGTGCTAGAGACAGGGGAGACATAGTCAGGCCAATTGTCAGTTTTGATCAGTGGGGCCCATGACACCACCCTGGGAACATGCTGAATAGCAGGCTATAAATCCTGACAAATAAATGATAATATTTCTATATACCCAATTCAATTGTAAATATATTTCTATTGTTTAAATATTTTAAAAAGAAGGAACTGTTTGTCAATACAAAAGAAAATCTAACCCATAAATGTTTACCTCACATTTTAATGATGGGTATTAAAGGTGTACATCTAAGAAAATCTACATAGTACCAGCTCAAATCTCAAAAGAAAGTATTTTTGGCAAGACCACATTTACAAGATAGGCAGCATCAGAATATTGTCACATATGTTAGGTATTTTAGGAATGAACCATAATCAAACATTGTTTCCAAGCAACAAGCATTTAAAGCAGTTAATTGAATTGATGGTGAATGGATTTTTTTGTGTGTCTTTCTAGGGTGCATTTTAAAAAAACAGCTCATGAATACCTTCAAATAAGAAGGTTCTCAATGTTACAAAGCACAATTTTGGGCTGCTGAGTTTATAAAAGATTAACTACAGTCTTTAATTTCCCCTTCCCTTTCCTAAGCAGTGAATGGAAATCCAGCTGACAATTAAGTTTTTTTGCTTAGTTTGGTGTGTGTCAATTCATTCAATATTATCAATTTCCTTTAATTATTCATTTGTGTTTCTCTTGTAGTAAAAATGTAACACAGGCTTTGATTTTTTAAAGGGTACATAAATCATTACTTTCTCACATGCATCTTTCACTTCTGGTTGTATTGCTGTATCAACAATGTAAATATTGCGAATGGAAATGGAAATGCTATGATTAGGGTTGAGGTCATTTTTCCAATCTTAAATTCAATTCTCCACATTTCCACAGCAATTTTCAATTTTAAAAATATCTTCAAGAACCTTTGTCAGCATTTTAGTGTGAATTTCTTCTAATCTACACATTTATGCTATTTTGAGTAATGTATACATTTTTGCAAGCATTTTTCCTAATATATTTTTGCATTCATTCATGTGGAAGATTTGTTGCATTTCTGTATATTATTTTCAGCAATATATGCATTTTTTGCATATTTCCCCCTAACACATGCATTTTGTACATATTGTTTGATTTGAGAACTCTATGAAAAAAAATTCAAAGAAGTGTACATTTTCAAGGACAGCTAGTTTAAAAATTAGGTAGTTACACGTTGAACTGCAAGCACAACCAAACGTCTCCGTCAAATTGAAGTATCATTAGAACAAAGCAAGCATACGTATATTACCCATTTGAACAAGCAACTTGGTGTCAGATGCATTGAAAGTATCATAGATTTAGTACTGTGCTGAAAAGATCATCATCATCATCATCATCATCAGTAGTAGTACTTAACACAACCATTTGCCATCAGTTCATAAGGAAAAAATATAATGAAATTTTCAAGGATGGGTTGCATGGTTTTTGTTGTGCTTGCCTAACTTTCAAGGTGACCAAGGGGTGTTTGAGACTGCAGACTTCTGGGATGCTTACTGCTAACTTGCACCTATACATTTTGGCATAACTGCTATGAAACACGGGGGGGGGGGGAGGCTTGAGAAATGGATTCCAAAGATCAGGTACAAAATTGGTATAGTGCAAAGATAATTCACTCATCAGACCAAACCCCACTTCTCTGTTCCAGCTTTTCCTCTCATGCACAACATAGATTGTTGCAGGGGAGCCAGAATTGTAAGGATACAGAAGTTTCAACCTAGCATATACAAAAATACATACTTAAAACCTCATGTGCATTTTTCACAACCATACAGAGCTCCTTAACCTCCAGACTAGTTCCTCCAAGGATTCACTACCATCGGTTCCTCTCCCCTTTCCACCTAGGCATCCCACCATCTAAACAATGGGAAACAGAGCCATATCTATCTTTCCTCCTCTGAGAAGATAAAAACCCTCCTGGGAGAGAATGTTGGCATTTATATTTGACTCCTAATAAGTGAATGTTTCCCCTCTCCTCCCCCCACCTCCTAGCCATGTCAAGGCAGAGATACAAAATATGGTGTAAACTTTAGCAACTAAGACAACCCCCCCCCCCCCGTGAGAAGCCTTTGCTACTAGGAATCCTAAGGAGAGGACAAACATCCTTTATACAAAGCACCTCAACAAAGAGTCATCTGAACAAATGAGCAAGGGCTCAACCTTGCTAGATCATCACAAGTTTTTATTTATCCCTGCTCTGCTTGGAAATTTCAATAATCAAAAAACAAAAACAAAAACCCAGAAACAATAGCCTAGGAACAGCAAATGAATGCAGATCAGTATTTCAGACCCAAATATTCCTAAGCGTTTTTAGTGTCTAGAAGTTGAAGCCAAAACTTTTGTCAACTAGGCTCTAACCACAGGCTCAGCGAAAAGTAGCAATTCAGAGAGCTTTGAACACCAGGGAACATGAATTGGGGTTTGAGATCAAAATCCTAAAATTGCCACTTGGATACATCCCCAGCTTCAACGTTAGATATACAAGGGGATGATTCTGCATCATTTAAAGCTATTATACCTGTCCCGCTGATTAAACAATAGAATTGCGGCTTTTGCTGTGATGAGAAGGGGGAAATCATGCACCAGGGTGTTCAATATATTCCGTTCCCTAACGCACTGTGGTACATTGTGCTGCTGAAGTCTGACAAGGGCAACCTTTTGTATTAATCCACATGGAGTGCCAAATAGGATAACATTGAAAAGTTTTCAGTACACTCTGTAGCCTGTTGTGTGTGTGTGTGTGTGTGTGTGTGTGTTTTGTGTGGGGTTTTTTTTGCAATCACATAGGAGGTCTGAGGAGGTTGTACGGGATGTAATAATGAACCGGATTAGAAACACCTGCTGCTCTCTCGTAAACAGGAGCAAACCACAGGCATGCTGTTAACATTCCACTTGGTGGAACTTGGAGCCTGATCAGATAAATCAGTTTATTAGTATTAAGCAAATGCTGCTTATATGACAGGAAAATCAGTAGGTATGTCTTGATAGTTTGCCTCAAAATGCTTATCATTTGTAGGCTGCCCTGTCATTTTCTTTAAATGGAACACTACCGCAGCTTGAGAAGACAAACAGGAAATGCAGATAGAAGGAAGTTAATCAAGGCACACAAAAAGCCATCTGGATTGGTTTTGATACGTTCTTGATCCATAAAACAGTTTCTCTTCTAGAGAATAGATCTCTAATAAAATGTTTGTTATTGTTAATAATAGTTATTAACTATTGTTGTTAGTTGGCATGATTTAATTTATATACTGCTTATTGCCAAAATAAGGTTCTAAGCAGTTTACAAGTATGAAGTCCTAGCAACAGCAGTGAGGCAGTAACATAAGAAGAGCCTGCTGTAGCAGGAGAGTGGCCCATCTAGTTCAACATTCTATTGCAGTGGTCCACAAGATGCTTGTGTGAAGCCAGTTGTTTCCCCCCTACTCCCTTAGCCTACAGACAGGCAGCTCCTTTGAATATTGGCTTGGCTTCCTCATCATCCCTAACAATGAAATGACATTACATTTAAGGCCACACTTGTAAACTGCTTAGAAGCTTATTTTGGCATTAAGCAGTATATAAATTAAATAATAATGCTAATTAATACTACTACTTATAAATTAATTATGAAGAGCATTTTATTTAAGAGCTATTGGTGCCCCTTTCCAGGAACGACCATTAAATCACACAGTCTTAGAAGAGAATCCTTGCCACTGCTGCCCAACCCATTTCAGACCAGAAGACAATCTACTCTAGGAATGGCTAACCTGGTATCTTCCAGATGTTGTTGAACTACCACTGCCACCATCCCTGACTATTGGCCATGCTGGCTGGGGCTGATGTGAGCTGGAATCCAACAACCTGTCCTAGGTATGTTATAAAGGGCATTTCATTTTGAGAGAGTCTTGGGAGGGCTCCAGTAAAGCCATTTCTAAGAGACCAGAGAAAAATCCTGGATTCAGTTTCAGGGATTTCGGCTTAGCTTAGTCTAAAGAAGATCTGTTTTAGTATTTTAACTTTTGTATGTTTTAAAAGATGGTTATAATTTTCAAGTCTGATCTTTTTGTAAACCTCTTTGAGAGGTTTCTTTTACAGTCAAGAGGTGGATGAATGTTGTGGAATAAATAATCTAGTAAATAAAGCAGATGAAATAATCTTGACATTCCCTTGGGTGTGGAACACTTCAATTTAGAGGAGCATAACTTGAAAGAACTGAACTTGGACTCGTTTGAACCTATTCAAGTTCAACAGGACTTGTGATGAGATAATAAACCCACCCTACCCATCTCCATTGTTCACTAGGTGTTACAGGGTTATTGTCTGCAGCAGGGAACCCTCCTGTACTCATGGAAGCGCCTGCACATTTTGAAACCCTCAGAAATCACAGCTGTTGATGTCCAACCTCTCTGCTGTGTGGCCCGAGCTCTACTTGTCCAAAGGTCTTCAGCCACAACTAGTTTCCTCAGCAGTGTCCTAATTGCAGCATCATTTACTGGAGCAAGAGTTGTCACACATACCTGCTAAGGGGGCATGGGAATGAGACATATGCCTTGCTGATTGGAGTGAGTGATTGTCTCAATTAAGTATAGAAGGCTGAAGAGATTAGTGACAATATGAAAGCCTAATGAGCAGAGATCAAGAGGGCTGCCATTTTCTCCCCATGTGTACAACATCTGATGGTCATATCAATCTTCCTGTAAGCTGCTTTGATGCCTGAGAGGTGGATTGAAATGAGGTAATGAACCTAACCTCATAGGAAAACAGGACACTGTTCCATAAACTACTGTTCCATTCAGCTCCGTACGGTTTACAAGGCCTGGCAGCATCTCTCTAGGGTTTCCCAGCCCTACCTGGAGATGCCAGGGATTGAACCTGGAGCCTTCTGCATGCAAAGCTGATGCTCTTCATCCCCTATCGTAGAGTCTTCTTTAGTTTAGTACTTACTGGTTACATAGCGAAGCATACTATGAGCGTCACTGAGTTCCCTTCTATCAAACCTCAATTGATTTTATGAAATCAATTTGTATATCATCTTTTCACATGCTTGTGAAAGCAACGCCACCATATACAACCATATAAACAACAAAGGAAACAAACATCTCATAATTATTATTATTACTTTAAACAAAGATCCTATATGAAGTATATCTGAGCACTGAAAATTGCCACAGCTGATAAAACTAACTAGCTCCACCTTAGCTACCCTTGAATACTTTGATGAAAAGTGCACCTTGCATTGCTCTTGGAAAGTTCAGTGGAGAAATACTATACTGACCCTCAGGTCCAGCTCTACCATTAGGCAGAGTGAGGCCACCACCTCAGGCAGCTGATTTTAGATGCTGCAAAGGAGCAGTGAATTGTTAGCCACTTAATTCTCAGATTATTAAAAGGAGATATTTCCCAGTGCATGTAGGAGTGCCACTAGATGGACGCACGTTTGGTTGGAGAACTCACTGTGATGACTTAAATTGCTTGCAAAGTCTAGCAGTAGTACACAAGAAGTCCTTCTTCCACTCATCACAGATGTGTTGGCCTCCTGAGAGTCAACAGCAGTGCAGCCAGTAGAAAGGAAAGTTGTGTCCCAAGATCAGCCTTTGCTGGCTGGGGCTGATGGAAGATGTAGTCCAAAATATTTAGAGACTTCCAGGTTGGTGAAGGGTGCCCAAGATGAAGGCTGATCTGAGGAAAGCCATTTACTTTGATAGCTGGATCATCTGCAGGTTTTCTTGTTGGATTGAGCATGATATGAACATTCTACCAACCGAGTTCCATCAGGCTAGAACACTCTACTGAAGAGATTAGTATGCTGTGACTCTCCAGAGGCTGCTCCCATCCTCCCTGACCACTGGCCATGAAACCCAGGAGCTGATGAGAGTTATAGGCCGGCAACAAATGGAGGGCCGCATGTTCCCCATCCCTGCTCTATTGTTTTAAGGCAGCAAGCAAAACTTGGCTGGATCTTTTCTTTGCCGGCTTATTTTTTGTTTTATTTTTTAATGCTGTTTTCATGTTGGCAGCTGTTTCCAAAAAGTGTTGATTTTTTAAAAATAATGACGTTAGTGGATTTGTGTTAGTTTTAGTTTTTTTTAATGTTGCTATTAGTAAAGGCGGGTGTCAGATATTGTTTTGCTATACAGTGGTACCTTGGGTTACATACGCTTCAAGTTACATACGCTTCAGGTTACAGACTCTGCTAACCCAGAAATAGTGCTTCAGGTTAAGAACTTTGCTTCAGGATGAGAACAGAAATCATGCTCTGGCGGTGCTGCGGCAGCAGGAGGCCCCATTAGCTAAAGTGGTGCTTCAGGTTAAGAAGAGTTTCAGGTTAAGAACGGACCTCCGGAACGAATTCAGTGCTTAACCCAAGGTACCACTGTATTGTATTGTTTTCTGCTTTGGGGAAAAATAATGTTTAAACCTTTAAAACAAATGATAATTAAAAAAAAAAAAGAGCTCCAATCTTAAAGACAAACAAGGAGAGTAAACAGTCCAGAAGTCCTTAGTATGTAGATTAGAATGAAAACTACCTGGTCCAGTCAGATGCCTTTGAGAAGTCCACAAGCATAGAATGGAAGCCATAAATTTTCCTAAGCAACTGATATTCAGAGGCATATTGCTTCTGCCTATATAACCAGGTACAGCCATAGCTGCAAAGGAACAATCAGGAGCATTACAGTGCACTCCCAGTTATTCCTCTGTAAGCAGGGCTTACGTTCAGTGACTTTTAAATTAGGCACCAACTAGGAACCTTGCCATTTATGGTTTCTCTTGGGAGCCTCCCATTGCAACCAGTTCCTGCTGCAAGCGGGGCTTGCTTTTGACACTAGATTCACATTCAGCACTCGATATAGGCTAAATATGCCCAATAATTCCATCTTTATTAATATTTTCTAACAAGTTGCCTAAAACACACATTTAGCTAACTGGCCTCTAACTTCCTCCTGCTGATTCCAGAGCTATGTTTGCTACTTTGTACTCTGTTAAAGAGATAAGTTTTAGTGACAACAGTACAGTAGTACCTCGGGTTAAGTACTTAATTTGATCCGGAGGTCCATTCTTAACCTGAAACACCACTTTAGCTAATGGGGCTTCCTGCTGCTGCCGCGCCGCAGGAGCACGATTTCTGTTCTCCTCCTGAAGCAAAGTTCTTAACCTGAGATACTATTTCTGGGTTAGCGGTGTCTGTAACCTGAAGCGTATGTAACCTGAAGCGTATGTAACCCGAAGTACCACTGTACTTCACTTCTGAGTTCTTTAAGCACTCAAGTATTAAGTGATTTCTTAACTTAACTATAACTTCATGCCTTGCCACCTCTATTAGATTCAGTTCCTCCAATGTCCATCTGAAAAAAATAGGTATCGGTAATAGTAATAGTTACTGGCCATGCTGCTCAAACAAATACCATAGCAAGCCCACAAACAAGGCATACAGATGACAGGCCTCTCCTGCTTTTGATCCCTGGGAATTGGCATTTGGTGGCATATTGGCAGGTTCCATCCCACTCACTCATGCCCACTACTCCTTCTGTAGCAAAGACAGATAGAAATTGTTCAGCTTACCTGTAATCTCACCATCCTCCTTTAGGAATCCCTTTACTCCTTTGATGTCCACCTGTAAAGGTCATTTACAGTTGCCCGCACATTCCTTTGTGTTCCACCACCAAGAAATGTAGGTTTCAGAAGTTGTGTAGGATGGCAGACGGCACAGTTCTGACCTTTATATTCCATCAACATTACAGTTTATTTTTTAAAATCAAGACAGCAACTGTCTCTACTAACCTATTTTATATCTCACGTTCAAGCTGGAATATATTGTGAAATGCATTGTGTTTGCTATCATTTTCCCTAACGCAAAATCAATGGTAAGATACACACATTGGAAGTTGGTCGTTGTCACAGCACTGCATATTTCCGCAACTTATGCATTATCAAGCTGTGTGGTGCCTGGAAAACTGCCAGGATTTTCACTCCTTTATGTAATGATTGTCCATTTGGCTAGTCACAATGGTCACTGAGATTTGCTGAGCTGCAGGGTCACATCATAACTCCCATCAATACATTTCCAAATCATTTCATGTGGCAGAGGTTATGGAAAACATAAATTTGAAGTGAATATTATCAAACTCCAAAACTGTTTTCCCCCCAAAAAAGTTACCCCTTTCCCGTTCTGTTAATTCTTGTGTATTATTAGACCCAATAAAAATATCTTAAAAAACACACTCAAACAACTTAACTACAGATTGCCACCATACCGTACAGTGGTACCTCGGGCTACATATGTTTCAGGTTACAGTGGTACCTCAGGTTACATACGCTTCAGGTTACAGACTCCGCTAACCCAGAAATAGTACCTCAGGTTAAGAACTTTGCTTCAGGATGAGAACAGAAATCGTGCTCCGGCGGCACAGCAGCAGCGGGAGGCCCTATTAGCTAAAGTGGTGCTTCAGGTTAAGAACAGTTTCAGGTTAAGAACAGACCTCCGGAACGAACTAAGGACATAACCCGAGGTACCACTGTAATGCAGAACACCCTCTTCTACCTGCTGAAAGCACAGCAGGCAGAAGTGCAAAGGTTGGGTATAAACGCAATACACACATAAATAAAAAATCTCAACCTGGTGTACAAAAATACAGCATTCAAAAACAACAAATTTGTGCTATAAAAACAAAAATCCAGTAATACTGAGGTCCAATTTTATGAGTCAGGGAAAGATGGGTCTTTACAAGACATGTGAAGCAACTGGCGGATAGTATTTCATGCATTCTCTGCTGAAAGCATGGAATGATGCGAGAGTCATCACGATGATTCTGGGGGATTTTATTCTGTGACTATTGACACACATAGAGGTTTCAAGACTGACATTTTAATTCTACTGCTGCCTACATTCAGGTTCCTTAGCCACATGCCGAGTGAATGGCAATTGAACATTAGAGTGCTCTGTCATGCTCCTAGGGAAGCAAACTGATAGGATTACTTAGTGACAAGCTCTAAAAATCCTATCTAGTACAACCCAGTAGGATATCCAGCATGTATGACTAGGAATGGATTTCCCTTTTTTCTTTCTTTCTTTGTCTCCAAGCTTTATTAACATAATTCTATCACATAGTCTTCTAAGAGGCAGAAATCTCTGTCATAAACCCAAAGAGGATCTCACTTTCTGTGGGTTAAAAACATTTCCACGTGTCAATAACCATTACTGTTTGCATGTGAAATGGCAAAACATGAAATCCTATTTAAACAGCTTCAGCTATTACTTAAAACAATCATAGCATAAATCCGGAGAAAATATTGCATTTGAAAGGATGCTGTACTAGGAAATGGTGGGGAATCCATAGTTTAATAAGTATTTCCGCTTAAGGTTATCTTTATCACTGACCATTTATGGTAATGCCATGAAGAACACATGCTGGACACATAATATGGATTTACAGTGATAACCTTTGCAACTTTAAACTTGATCTAAAATGATGTATAAGGGACGTGGATGGTGCTGTGGTTTAGACCACTGAGCATCTTGGGCTTGCGGATCGAAAGGTCGGCGGTTCGAATCCCCATGATGGGGTGAGCTCCCGTTCCTCTGTCCCAGCTCCTGCCAACCTAGCAGTTCAAAAGCATGCAGTGCAAGTAGATAAATAGGTACCGCTCCAGTGGGAAGGTAAATGGTGTTTCCTTGCGCTGCTCTGGTTTCGCCAGAAGCAGCTTAGTCATGCTGGCCACATGACCCAGAAAAACTGTCTGCAGAAGCGGACAAACGCTGGCTCCCTCGGCCAGTAAAGCGAGACGAGCGCCACAACCCCAGAGTCGTTCGCAACTGGACTTAATTGTCAGGGGTCCCTTTACCCTTTACCTTTAAAATGAAGCATATTTTCTGGAATCTGGGAAAAGAGCATAATCAGTCATTAGGTGCCACTGATAATAATTATGCAT